AAATGCACTAGAAACACGTGAGAAACAGAAATCGTATGAGAAACACACAGGAACACATGGGAAACACATGAGAAACACACAGGAAACATGAGAAACATACAGGAAACATACAAGAAACACACAGGAAACATGATAAACATACAGGAAACATGAGAAACACACAGGAAACATAATAAACATACAGGAAACATACAAGAAACACACCGGAAACATGATAAACATACAGGAAACACATGAGAAACACACAGAAAACACATGGGATCAACACGTGACATGTAACCCATATGAGCTGTGTACACATCACTCACTTGGTGGCCTGTTGTTGCATTTTGGGAGAGAATCCAAGACCAGCCAGGATGACAGAGGCTCTGATTGGATGAGAGAGACAGAGCAAGTTAACAGGGTTACCGACAGATTTATCCCACCTGCCATCCAGGTGTTAAATCCAGATGTTTTCTGGGAATGTGTCTTTATTGTGTTTGTTTAACTGATGGAATATAAATAACTGTTTTTAAACAGATTTGTTATTTGTGAAAATAAACAGTGCGGTTGCCATGGTTACCGGGCTGGGGCTTTGTCAGCTTCAATCTCCTCCAGTTTACCGTAAATCTCTGACAGCCGGACGCTCTCCATCCCGTCGGCTCTGAAACGACAGCAGTGATCAGAAGCCGCTCCTCTGACATCATCAAGGACAAACGGCCTCAAGCCGCGCCGTCACTGGTCGAGCTTCGGCTTCTTACGTTCCGTTGGCGATACGAGCGTTCAACCGCCGCTCCTCGTCCAGCAGGTCCTCTCGCAGAGTGTCGCTCTGCAGGACGCTCTGCAGCGCCATCGTCTCATCTCCCGCCACTTCCTGTTCCACGTGCAGGATGGAGATGTGCACCGGCACGCGGAGGTTCCGACTCGCCAGCATCTTCAGCAGCGTTGTCTTCCCCAGACCGTTTCGACCAATCAGACCATACCGACGGCCTGACGCCAGACATAGCTCCGCCCCCTGAAGCAGACACCTGAACACAGTGACATGAGCATGGGAATGAAATCTGATTGGTTGTGGCGGCTCCTGCTGTCTCTCAGTGGATCTGTCCTCACCTTTCTCCAAAGGAAACGTCAAAGTTTTCTATCCGAATGTCGTAGCTCCGGTTCTTTCCCGATTGATCAACCCGATTGTCCTTTTTGTTGCTCGCCTGACTGGCAGATGCCTCCTCCAGGACTCTAAGAGGACAGGTGAGGACAGGTGAGGACAGGTGGGAATAGGTGATCAAGGGACAGGGAGGAAAAGGACAGGTGTGGGACGCACAGTGGACCGGAGATTTTCTGAGAGTCCTTCTCGTTACGGCGCTCGGTTTTAGCTTTCAGCTTGGCTTCGGCTTTCTCCAACCTCTTGGCATCGACTGTCTGCAGAGAAACAGAAAACAGCAAAACATTTCAACTTTGATGATGGTTCCATCTGCCGGTCAGAGGTCATGAGGTTCCATCTTCTGTTGGGATCAGAAAACAAAACATGAGGATTCAGAAACAAATCAGAACCCAGTCCTGTTTTTCCTGCAGCTGGAGTCCAACACGCGTTCCTCCCTTCAACACGAGGGTAACAAAGTTAACAAGATGGAACCGTTAAAACCCGACCGAAGGGTTAAAGACTCACCGTGTTTTGAGGACGTTTCATCATCCAGATCCCCTGAACGTCTTTGACTGCTGACACTGAGGAGAAACACACACACATCATCCAGCTCCTGCTGCGTTCACATCAGAGATGAACAACGGGAAGAACCGAGAGGAAATGCCTCCAAAAAATAATTTAACACAATAAATGACAAAGTCCTGGATCAGTGCCTTGTGGGACTCCATTAACGGACTTCAGGGTCTTACCGGAGTCTGCAGACATCTGAGACAGCTGGACCGGAGCGTCCAGGAGCATCTGCTTCTGCGACTGGCGATGGTTGTTCCTGATTAACCCAATCAATAATCAATCAATCAATCAGAACTGCTGACAGAACCGATCAGAACCCAGGAGAAAACCCGTCTGCTCACAGTTTGAGGCTGTTGAACATCTGGAGGCAGATGTCTCTGACGTCATCCTCGTTTTTACTGTCCGCCGACACATCCTGCAGGAGGCCACCGACGGCATCATACACCTCCTCGCCATCCTCGAAGTCTGTGGAGCTGCTGTCCAGAACACCTGGAACACGACCACATAGTTCTACGACAGGTGGGGAACATCCTGAAGGTACGACCACGTCATTCCCTCCACCAACCGGAACATTAAGCCCACCCTGACAGTAACTTAACTGGACAAAATGTTCTGGCACAACAGTCCAACTAAGATCCGTCTGGTTCTGGATAAAGGCTCCAATCCTTACACGGGATATTTTTTTTCTGCTCCAACAACTTTAAGAACAAAAAGGTCACCTGCTGCCAGATAAGCCCCGCCCACTAACCGGTAACCACGGTAACCAGGTAATTACCTGTATGTCAGTGGTCATAATGATATGGCTGATCGGTGTATGCTCTGATTCTGATCAGACCTTTGCTAATAAAGTTTAATTAAAAATTACGTCACAGAAACTGACAGACACGTGCTGAACTCAAACCTGACACCTGATCTTGAATCGGTTTTCCTGACGCTGAAACCGATTCCTTTTTTTAGTATTTGGATTCTGCCCTTGTTTTAACCCGGGTTCGGTTCGGTACGCTTCGGTGTCCCGGCTCTCTGACCTCATCACCCCGTGCAGCCCATCTGCCACAGCTATGCGGCCGCGGGCTACCGGGCGCTGCCGCCCGGCTAACCGGAGCACCAAAGGCCGCGTGTGGAGCTCCGCAGAGCCGGGGGCCACTGACTCTACCCCGCCGGCACTCAGCGGCTCTAAACCCCGACCGATGGCGGCTCTGTGCCCGCTCACTCACCTGTGATGTAGTCGAAAAGCTCCGTGTCGATCTCGGGAAACTCTGTCTTCAGGATGTCTACGTACGTCGCCATGATACCCGGCCCTGGACAGTGTCGACCGAAACGCGCATGCGTCAACTAGAAAAACCGCTTTGAACTGTGGGGGTTGTAGTTTTTGTCTTGGACAACGTCAGAACATGTTTCTAAAAATATTTTTACTTCCTGTATTTTTATCAGCTGTGCCACGTGAGCTGTTTTAAATGTTTCATAGTTTAAATGTATTATTTAATTAGCTTATAACGTCCCAGTTCACATCAGAGATTATTTGAGGTTCACAGAGTAAAAAAAAACAAAAAAACAATTAGGACCTTGACAAGAACACAATTTTTAGAGTACAGTATTACTGTGGTGTACTAATCTCAAATAATAAATATTTTTACTAAAATACTACAATTTTTCTTGCTAATTATAGTCGTGAAAATCTACACATAAACCTATCAGGGATTTAATCTCTTACTGCACAGAAATACAGCCGTCTGAAAATTGTATTTTAAAGAATTAAAACATACTTTGATTGGAAATATCTAAATTAGTATAAAAAAAACAGGATGTGTGGTTTAAGCTTTATGAATAAAGTAACTCTTCAAGGCCATTTGGTTTAAATTCAATTCAGTTTATTTCTAAAGTCACAACAGAAGTCGTCTCAGGGACTGAACAGAAACATTCAAATAATAAAATAATAATTTAACATTATTTATGTGAGGAGCAGACTGCTTTGAGTTTAACTTCATCACAGAACTCTCATCTTGAGCAAGTACGAAGGCGACGGTGGAAAGGAAAAACTCCTCTTCTTCTTCTTCTTCTTTTATGTTTAATGGCGGTTGGCAAACAACTTATAGGTGCATTACCGCCACCTTCCAGACTGGAGTATAGATTAGATGTCCTATCACTATATTCTCCCCATAATGCCTGACATCTTGAGAAACCTAAAAATGCTGTTAAAAATTATATTTTCAGAAGATCTTTGCAGCAAATTTTTAACATCTAAATTGATTTTATTACTATTCATCTCTCTAATTAACAACTCTCTTTCCCGGCTGTATTTACTACATTCTAGAAGAATATGCTGCACCGTTTCTGACTCTCCACAAAAATTACACAGACCTGTACTATGTTTATTAATTATTTTCAGCGTACTATTCAGCCCCGTATGCCCAAATCTTAGTCTAGATATAATATCCTCTTCTCTTCTATTTCTATTTCCTTCCCTACATTCCCCTACTTTCCTTTGGATGCTATAATAAAATCTTGCCTTTTCTTCTCCATCCCATAATTCCTGCCATTTCTTTTTAAAATATATTTTACTTATACTTTTGATTTCATTTCTGCTTATTTTCATATTTACTTCAACCTTATCCCTTTTCGCTGCACTTTTAGCAAATTGATCCGCCAATTCATTTCCTATTATTCCAATATGAGCAGGAATCCAAATCAACTTTACCCTGGATCCAAACTCTTTAATTCTAAAAATTAATTGACCAATATTCAATATGATATCTTGTCTTGTATCTGAACTCTGTTCTAAAATACTTATTAATGCACTACTTGAATCTGAACAAATCAATATTTCCTTCTTTCCCGTTTCCTCACACCATTCTAGAGCCATTAAAATAGCCATTAGCTCACCTGTATAGACTGTCATTCTGTCTGTTACTCTTTTATTTTTCATAATATTTAAGTCCGGAACTATAAATGCTATTCCAATTTTACCATTTACCATTTTAGAAGCATCCGTATATATTTGTAGAAATTCAGGGAAAAACTCCTTCATGAGGAAGAAACCTTTAGCAGAACCAGGCTCAGGACAAGAGGACCATCTGCTTCAAACGAGGAGGAACAGATACACAATGGCAGGTCGAGAATCACATGTTAAGATAGAAATAGTATCAAATGAAAATATTCAAATTCTATAATTCACATATTAGTGTGAGTTACCATTAATATGTTGATAGTGATTACGCAGTAAATTTATACTAAACAAAGTACTGTGTTTTGCAACACAGCATTAGTGCTTAGTGTATCAGATCTTTTAGCGTGTCGTTTAGCATATATCTTAGTGTATATCTTGGATCCTAATTTAATGTTTCTTTTTACACTTTATATTTTTGCTTATGCTGGTTGTAACTGGGATCTAGTGTACATATTTTTGTCCCACCTCATGTACCTTATGGTGAAATGACAATAAACCTATTTGAACTCGAACCTACTTATCGTTTTGGTACCGCCAAACAGAACTGCTGTAGTACTGTGGTATCAGTAGTACTTTTAATTAACATGCATAATTTAAAAAGTTATAATAATATAGTGTAATTCATATAGCATGCAGCAGGTTAATGTTCTGTGTGCGGTTGTGCCGCAGTGCGCATGCTCAACACTAGCAGTAGCCGTTAGCAGTGCGGGCTAACAGCCGGAGTGTGTAATGGCGGCCTCGGTGTTATTGGGGTCTGCGGAAAACACCGGACTCCACTTCACGGTCGGAGCTGGCGGCAGCAGCGGGACTACCCACATAGGGAACGCCAACGGACTGGGGCAGGCATGTCCGGCATCGTGGAACCGTTCTCTGGAGCGGGCGCTGGACGAAGCTTCGGTAACCGGGTGTGTGAACCTGAGCGGCAGGAAGCTGAAGGAGTTTCCCCGGAGTGCTGCCAACCACGACCTGACGGACACAGTCAGGGCCGGTAAGTGAGCCCCACAGCCTCTACCAGACCCACAGAGACGGACCGGTCTCTGTTGGGTACCAACAGAAAACGTGGAACCGTTTTTGTCCGGATTTAACTGCGAGAAAAGTTGAATTAAACTTCTTGGGTCCAGAGGATGATGGAAAACCGAACGGGCCGGTGTTGTGGTAAACATTGCACCCCTGTGAAATGATGTCCTCCCGCCGCCCGGTTGGGCAAATGTCTGACCACCAGCAGCACCAGAACAGTGTTGTAAATAAATCCTGTTGTCAGAGGCTTGTTTGAGTCCAACATGTTAGTTTTTGAGACAGACGTGCGCGACGGAGGAAGCTAAAATAACATCCGCTAACTTTGACAGATTTATTTACACAGGGCTCATCTAGAGCTGTGCTAGCGGATGTAAACAATGTCTCGGCTCTGGATTCTTGTGTTTCGGCGTGAAGTGGGTTGTCTCCAGGTGAAGGCGGACGGGACGCTGGATTTCCGGGGTAACGGTTTGCGACAGGACACCGCTATAGCATGCTAACGCTGAAACGGTGATTAAACACAGCTAAAAGATCGTTTCTGTAAACTGCTGGTTCAGGATTCGGTTCTGGTACTGGATCATCAGGAGGCGGGGACAGCCTCACCCTGGCTGTGACGTCACGAAAGGTGAAAGGACACCTGTGTTTGTGCTTTGTTTTGTTTTTAACGTCTATTGTAGCTCCGCCCTCGCGGACGGTATGGGATTGCCAACAAACGGATATCAGATGATGGGCACCAGTGACCCCGCGACAAGCGGGTAAAGATAATGGATGGATGGATTATTCCTCACAAGGGACCTGACAGGAGCTGACATCAGACTTCAAGACCCACATCCAACTGTCTGTCCTTCTAACCATCCATCCATTTATACATCCATCTTCTTCTTTCGGCTTTTTCCTCTTCAGGGGTTGCTACAGCGAGTCAGTTTATATATCCGTCATCCATCCAATTATCCATCCATCCAACCATCATTCATCTATCCATTCAAACCTTTGTCTATCCATCCATCCATTCAAACCTTTGTCCATTCATCCATCCATCTATTTATATCCATCATCCATCCAACTATCCATCCAATCATCATCCATATATCCATCCAACCCTTTGTCCATCTATCCATACATTCATCCAACCATCATCTATCCATCTGTCCATCCATCTATTTATACATCCATATTTTTTTCCGTCTAACCATCCAGCCATTATCCATCTGTCCATCCAATTCATTCATTCAACCTTTATTTATACAGTTTAATCCCATTGAACAATGGGGACTGACTTACAAGAGAGACCTGAATTTTAACAAAGAATGATGACAACAATAGACAATTACAAAGGATGCGTACACATTTTTTATTTATTTTTGGTTTTTAACAAGTGAAAATAAAATAGTAATTAAAAAGAACAAAGTCCATGCTCAATAATAATTAATAAGTAATTAAAAAGGATAATGTCTGCATTGTTTTTTTCCAGGATCTTGTCAGATGTTTGAAGCCACTTAGAGAGGTCAAAGGTCGAGAGCTTCAGATCTTTTTGCAAGATATTCCAGGAAACAGGAGCGGAGTAAGAGAAGGTCCTTTTGTCTAGTTCAGTCCTCACTGAGGGAACACTGCAGGTAATGATGTCCTGAGAGTGCACGCTGTAGCTGCACTCACGCAGAGACATGTAGGAGGAGATGTATGAAGGCAACAGACCAAGAAGTGATTTAAAGATGAAGATGTACCAGTGAGAGAGTCTGCGTGAAGTTAATGGTGACCAGTTAACCAGTGAATACTGGGTGCAGTGGTGGGTACGGTAGTTACAGCCAGTTATGAATCTTAGTGCACCATGATAGACAGCATCCAACATCTGCAGCATCCAACATCTGCAGGGTTCTTGTAGGAGCGTTCATGTAAATAATGTCACCGTAATCAATGGAGGGAAGGAAAGTCACAGATACAAGGTGTTTCCTAACATTCAGAGTTAGACAGGATCTGTTTCTTAAAAAGAAACCAGTTTAACTTTCAGTTTCTTTACCAAGTTTTCATGTGGAGTTAAAAGAGAGATGTGAGTCGACCAAGATACCCAAGTATATACCTGGATATCCAATCAGCCATTCATCCAACCGTCATCTCCATTCAACCATCTGTCCATCCATCCATTTATTTATAATCCATCTAACCATCCAGTCATTATCCATCCATCATTCATCTATTTATACATTCGTTCAACCTTTATTTCTACAGGTTAGTCTCACTGAGTCACGAGGACTCGTTTACAAGAGAGACCTGATTTAAACAAAGAACACAGATGAAGTACAGACAACAATAGACAATCATATAAAAGTCATATAAAATGAAAATTAATTAGAATAAACAGCTACATTATACAGCGATGTCAAATACTAAACACAGGAACACGTCTGCGTTGGTTTTTACCATGAACTTAACAGATGTTTAAAACCCCTTAGAGAGGTCAAAGTCAACAACTACAACTAATACATCCATCATCCATCCAACCAATCATCCAACCATCATCTACCATCTGTGGATGATGGGTTGATGGATGACTATCATCTATCCATCTAACCATCCTTCCAACCTTCTTTTATTCATCCATCCATTTATTCATAATCCATCCAACCATTATCCTTCTAGCCTTCCATCCATCATTCATCAAAACATCGTCTATCCATCCAACTATCCATCTATTTATACATCCATCATTTGTCCATTCGTTCAGTTTCTAACAGTAACAGAATGTTTGGGTTTGTGAGACGTTTAGACTAAAATACCCTCGAGTCCGAGCTGCAGGATCATTAAACTGGTTCAAAACCAGCTCTTGTCTCGGTGTTTTCCAGATGCTCCTGGAGATGTTTTCATTGACAAACCCAACAGCAGGAAGTGATCCTGGTTGTTCAGGACACTTCCTGTGTTTGGAGACGAGTGAGTGAGCATCCCTGGCTGCCATGCAGCAGGAAGCCGAGGTTACCATGGCGACGAGTTCTTCCTGCTGTCCAGGTGCTCTGATAAATTTAGAGTCCGTGGGTTCGTTTCCTGTTGCTGCTGGAGGTGTTGAAGAGTTTGTTCTTGAGCGGTGTCCCATTAAAACAGCCAGAATCTGAGATGAATCGTGATAAACTTCTGAGCTTACAAAATCAACAAGATACATTCTGTTTTATGATTTATTCATTTTATTGATGGATTAGATTAATTCATGATGTTTTCTTTGTATTAATTTATATTTACAGAAACAGTGCGAATGCTGTGCGCTGAGTCAACTTGCTGGAGCCAAAACTGAGTCACTCGAGCTACTGCTAATAGCAGAGTCTAAGAAGTAAAACTGTAGCTAAAGCATAAAATTAGCTGAACATTAGCTAAAAGCTATACTTAGCACAAGACATATAAAGCCAGTTAGCTGAAGCAAATGTCAAAAAGAGCAGTGGATTGGAGGAATTGAAAAGACTTGTGTATTTTTATTTATTTTGTTAAATTAAAAAAGCATAAAAGTTTCAAATAGTAAGTCACAGAACTGTTCCTGATCGAGCTGAACTTTCTGGTGAACAGCCGGTTAAAAAAACACAAAGTTATTAGTCAAGTCAGATTTATTGATATAGCACATTTAAAACAGGAACTGTTACCAAAGTGCTTAACAAAAAGATCACAGCATCAAATAAAAAGTAACAAGATAGAATTACAAATTACATTTAGAACCAGCTTGGGTCCAAAAACATACAGAAGAAACTGTAAACCATAAAACGCTGACTCAGCATTCAGACAGGTAAAGGCACTGAATGCATATCACCCGCTACCCTTTACGCCAGCGTTTTAACATAAAATCGTTTTATTTTGATCAAACCTTGAAAGTAACTTGTGATTTCATGAGAACTCGACCCATCAGTTAGCTCTCGGAATGTGCGTTGGAGATGAATCTCAGCTACTACCACACCAGGTTTAGGTCAGTATCAGTAAAACTTTCTGAGGTAGATAATTATTTTGTGTTTTCCAGGGTTGTGGTACTCCTTTTAAATCGCGTTGACTCGTAAAGTTAATCACATGTACAACAGTGATTACCATGCAACTTAAACAAAAGTCCATCCACAGCCTCATGAGATATTTTGCTAACAGAAACACAACGAGTGGGCAATAAAAAGACCGCTTTCCACCTGAACATTTTGATTTTTTCATCTTTCCAGGAAGCTGATTGGTTGAGATGTGTTGTGTTGACAGGTGTGACCTCAGGTTAGGGTTCCAGCATCGGTTACCATGGTAACAGACCCAGGTACAATATGGGTCCCTGAACCAAACCTGATGCTACCTGGATAAGACCCTAATTCTCCTGATTAGAACCAAACCTGAACCCTGTCCGTGTCCTCAGATCTGTCTCGGAACCGCCTGTCGGAGCTGCCTCTGGAGGTGTGCGTCTTCGTGTCTCTGGAGTATCTGAACCTGTACCAGAACTGTCTGAGGTCCCTGCCCGACAGCCTCCTGAACCTGCAGGCGCTCACCTACCTGAACCTCAGGTGAGTCTCTCACACAGACTGTTGGGTTCTTATGGTACCGTGTGGTTCTGCAGGCAGGCAAGAACATCAGAGTGTCCTGAGAAATGTTTGAGATGAGTTGGATGTTCTGGAAAACCCATCCAGAACCGCTCCATACCCAGTCAGGTTAGTCACAGAGATTCTGACCCGTCTGTCTGACTCCTCCCCTCCAGTCGGAACCAGCTGTCGGTCCTCCCGCCCGTCCTCTGCAGCCTCCCTCTGAAGGTTCTGGTTGCCTCCAACAACAAACTGGTTTCTCTGCCAGAAGAACTGGGTCAACTGCGACTGCTCACTGAGCTGGTCAGTGTGTTCCCCTGCAGACGGATTGATGATGAGTCCATCAGATTGGGTATCAGTTACTGATCACCTGTGATTATTGATGTTTTGGTTGGCCGCTGCAGGATGTGAGCTGTAATGAGATCCAGACGTTACCGTCCCATGTGGGTCAGCTGGAGGCTCTGAGAGACCTGAACATCAGGAGGAACCACCTGATCCAGTTGCCTCCAGGTATGCACACACAGATCTGTTGGGAGCTGAAACAGAACCCCAGGATGGGTCTGGATCCGAGTCATGTGCCTGTTTGTGTTCAGAGCTGGCCGAGCTTCCTCTGGTGCGTCTGGACTTCTCCTGCAACAAAGTGACCTCCATCCCTGTCTGTTACCGACGCCTCACACAGCTGCAGGCCATCGTCCTCGACAACAACCCGCTGCAGAGCCCACCTGCACAGGTATGCAGGACTTGATGTCGCATCAGCCTCCCAGCTGCTAAGGTTTACCACACTGCTTCCTGTCTGCAGATCTGCATCAAAGGGAAGGTCCACATCTTCAAATACCTGAACCTGGAGGCCAGCAAGATGACACCGGAGCTGCCCGAATATGACAGGCGGCCTCTGACCTCCTGGTCTGACCTCTCACACACACACAGTGCTGCCTTTTCAAAATAAAAGCATGATTTACTGACTGCAGCTCTGTCCTGTCAGTGCTGACGATGTGTTCGCCGGCCGGCTGTACGGCGCGCTCGACTCCGGCTTCAACAGCGTTGACAGCGGAGACAAGAGATGGCTGGGCAACGAGGTCAGGCATCTGTCATGTTTTAAGCCACTGGTAAAATCTCTGGTATGCTGCTGCACTTCATTTAAAACACACTTTGTGCTGATAAAGTAACTGTCTCAGACATTTGTGAAAGATCAGACACTGAGTGTGATGTAGACGATGTGTTGGAGTTCACCTCAGGTTTAATCCGTCTTTAACGAAGCCTCCTGTCTGTTCGCTCAGCCTTCAGAGGAGCTGTCAGAGCTGCCGAGCAGAGTGGCCGAGATCAGCAAAGACCAAAGACGAAGTGGAGGACCCTCGCTGCCTAACGGGACCTGTGAGAGTTTCTCCTCTGACCTCAGCTCCATGTTCACATTTGTCCAGATTTTCATCTTCTCGTCTGTCTGTCTTCAGATGTGGAGCTGGAGCAGATAGACTTCATTGACAGCTGCGTGGAGGAGGAGGAGGAGGGGAAGAGTCGAGGAGGAAGAGACAGCAGCAGCCTCAGCTCTCAGTTCATGGCCTACATCGAGAGACGCATCACTAGAGAGGTAGGAGCAAGATTTTTGACCTTCTGTAACTCAGAGCTTTTAAGTTGGGACACAGTCTCTTTACTCACTTGTAAAAGTAGCACGTTATTGTGAAAAACCTCTTACTTCCTGTCTGTGTTCTTAGGGTTCTCCTGTAAAGCACAACCTGTCCCGGACAGAAGACGCAAAGAGACACAGCAGGTGCAAACAGTAAACCAGTCCAGTCCACATTCACCTGTGTGTCCCCACTTCCTGTCTGACTTCCTGTCTGTCCTGTCTTACAGGAGTGTGGTTGATGGTGTAACAGCCCCTTCTAGTTCCCACAGTCAGGTACAACATTCTGCCTGTCAAATACAAAACCTCTTGAGATGAACCTGACTGGGAACCATCGGGCTCATTTTCTCTGTTCGTCCCACTCAGAGAGGAGGTTCTGGAGGTGTGGAGAGGATGAGGAGGGAAGCTCAGCTCGCCGCTCTGAGGTACGACGAAGAGAGGCAGAAAAAACGTTCTTTGCAGAGAGACAATGCCTCTAGCTACACGAAGGTATGACCAGTTTAACCATTGAATTCACCAGTTTAACCTGCAGGGTTTTTTTACCTTCCGCTCATCAGTAGCTGTTGTTGTTTTCTAGCATAAAGCTGCTCAGGGTTCTACGAAGTCCAGTCCAGATTCTGAGGTGAGTGTCCCCTCAGTTTGATGTTGTGGTTGTCCTCCTCTCTGAGCCAGTCTACCTGACTATCTGCCATTACTCCCGTCTTTACTCTTATCTTACTCTTCACATCTTTGCTCGGTTATGATTAAACCAACTGTGTAGCACCGCCCCCTTATTTAGACCACACCCTTTAGCACACGTGTTCGCCTTCATGTGTCAGTTATTTCATTGTTTGTGTGTCTGTGATGTTTGTCTTTAGAATGTCTACCCCTCCAGACGCTGCACCCACACTGATGACTCCGCCCTTATTGTGGTAAGCATTTGACCCCACCCCCAAAATTCCACTGATCTTTTCCAAACTAGAAGCAGACCGGAATCGTTCATCGTCCTATTTCACCACTCCGTTGACAGAACGTAACGTGCTGGTTTCCACACCTGTCCACATGTCATCACTGCTGTTTGAGCTCTGCACCTTCTGTCCATCTCCCTTCTGCTTTTCCTGTTGATGCTTCCTTTTACGACACATTTATTTCCTTACCTTAGTCACAAAAATGCCACACCAATAATCTTCTGCCGTTTGTCTGGGCTAACGTATCGTGTGCACACTAATTAATTTTTATGTATATGAATGTTTCTGTTCAGTGCCCTGAGATAACTTCTGTTATGACTTGTCGCTATATAAATAAACTGAAATGAAATGTTGAGCCAAGACATGAACGCTCAACTATCCAGACTGACTGGATCTCCTGGGATTCCTTTAGGAATCAGGAGATGAAAAAATACGTCCCATATACAAAAAAAATTACTGAACCAGGAAATTACTGCTACTTTAGGTCACGTTAGCTAGTTTCAGAGCAACAAACGGTTTATTTTAAAGATAAAAATATCAATTTGTAGTTTGTCATGTTGATTATTTGAGTTTGGTTTGAGCTTTTTTAACGATCTGGGTTTTACCGTTCTGACACGTACAATGTTAGAACTAAAGTCGGCTGGATTTGTAAATCGGTATAACTGTTGGCAGTTTTTTGTAAGTGTTCACTCCAAAGTCCTGGGGTTCATGAAGGCAGCGCTGCAGGTTTCAGAGATGATCGGTGCTCGGAGGAGAGAGAACCTCTGTGGGTTCAAGTTTAGGATAAAAGATGAGCAGGTAGGCGAGGAGCATCCTGCTTTCAGGTGTATTCAGGTCTTCTGGACACAGGGGAGTCCAGGTGTGCTCATGTCTGTAACCGTAGTCCAGGTGTGTTCAGGTGTGTTCATGTGCACCTGTGTTGTGTCTCAGCAGGGGGAGGACAGAGCTGCTCTCTCCCCTACAGGTAAGAATAACACCTTGACTCATTAACACTTGCATCACCCACATACGTTTTCACTTCTTTTTTTTTCACTCCTTTCAGCCAATCAGTCGCCTTCTTACCCCAGCCCTGGGGGCGGGGCCTCCTGTCGGCCAACCAGTGGGCGTCCTGAGAGCTTCCTGTACCGCCTCGGCCAGAGAGAAGACAAGAGGAAAGGTGTGTGTTCGCTGAGGCATTGTGATCATATTCACCTGTCAGGTGTGCAGCACGTGACTCCTCCCCCTCTGTCCTGCAGGAGATGCCACTGCTGCTGTGCCTCCTCAGAGCCAGGAGGAGGCTCCTGCAGCTCCTCCTCTGCTTGGAGAAGATGCTGAACTGGTGGAGCAGCTCAGAAAGGTGCCTCCTACACGCTCCTCCTGCCCAGCTGTGCCGTGGTTTGTTCATGACCAGCTGTCTCTCCCTGTCCAGAACATCGAGGCCCGCCTTAAGGTGTCGCTGCCTAGTGACCTGGGAGCAGCTCTGACGGATGGGGTAGTGCTGTGTCACCTGGCCAATCACGTAAAGCCACGGTCCGTCCCCAGCATCCACGTCCCCTCCCCCGCTGTGGTGAGTGTCTCTGATTGGACAGACCGTTGGAGTCGCTGCTGGCGACAACCTGCTGATCTCTGCGTCTCCACTCCCGCAGCCTAAACTCACCATGGCCAAGTGTCGCCGCAACGTAGAGAACTTCCTGGAGGCGTGTCGCAGGATCGGAGTCCCACAGGTAACACACACCTGAGTGACAGCAAGGGGAATGAATCCAAACGTCCCGTGCCTTAAAACAGTCCTTCTGTCCAATCTAAACTGGCAGCTGAGGGTACGACCGTCTGCACTGATGAAGTTATCGTCGTCTTCGTCACGATGCTCTGCAGATGTGGTGCTGGACCAGTTTATTCCAGTTTATACCAGTAAAAACACCAACTGTACTTTATGAACAAAGTTTATTTCACAGCAGCAGATTTCAGTAATCCAGGATAAAGCTGAGCTTGGTCAAACCTCATCAGAAGATTGTGAATTATTCTGTCAAAACTGAGCTGCTTCATCTGTATCTACTGTAAAGCCTGGTTTACCTAATCCAGCTAATTTATCCAGCCGTCTTCATAAAGTCATGAGTTCAATCCAGATTAACTAATCCTGACATGAAACTGTATGATTCTTGTCACACCTGAAGCGATCAAAATATAAAATGATTTTTATGAGGCTGAATTTAAAAAGAAAACTCAGCTTTAATTAGAAAAGCTCGTAAATATTTAAAAAACTAGCTTCTCTTTTTTTAATCCTACATTTCCATAAAATGTTTCAGAATTTACACCAAAACCCGGAATACTAAAAATATAAACCTGTCAATTTTGCTGAGTTCCTCAAACAAGTGAAACTTAATTGAGTTGGGTGTGGGGTTGCGAGCTATGTCTGGATTAACTAAATCTGACTGTTAGCCCAGTCTGGATTACCTAAATCTGACTGATAGCCGGGTTTGGATTACCTAAACCAGGCTGTTTGCCGGGTCTGGATTACATAAATCTAATTGATAGCTGGGTCTGGTGGTTAAACTTAACCTGACTGTTAGCGGGATCTGGATTAATTTAACCTGACTGATAGCCTGGTCTGGATTAACTTAACCTGATTTATAACCTGGTCTGGGTTAATTTCACCTGACTGCTAGCCGGGTCTAGATTAATTTAACCTGGCAGCTAGCCGGGTCTGGATTAAATAAACTAGGCTGTTAGCCGGGTCTGGATTACGTAAATATGACTGATAGCCAGGTCTGGATGAACTAAACCTGACTAATAGCTAGGTCTGTATTAACTTAACTAGGTTGTTAGCCTGGTCTAGATTAACTAAACCTGGTTATAAGCCTGGTTTGAAGTTTTATGGTGCAGCTACAGCGAGAACAGAAAGTGACTTGAAGATAGAAAGAAAGGAGAGATTTTAAAAAGAAAAACAAGAACAATTAACAGGTTAACTTTGAGTGGTGATGTCTGGATTAAACAGGTTAACTTTGAGTGGTGATGTCTGGATTAAACAGGTTAACTTTGAGTGGTGATGTCTGGATTAAACAGGTTAACTTTGAGTGGTGATGTCTGGATTAAACCGGTTAACTTTGAGTGGTGATGTCTGGATTAAACAGGTTAACTTTGAGTGGTGATGTCTGGATTAAACAGGTTAACTTTGAGTGGTGATGTCTGGATTAAACAGGTTAACTTTGAGTGGTAATGTCTGGATTAAACAGGTTAACTCTGAGTTAGGATGTCTGGATTAAACAGGTTAACTCTGAGTTGGGATGTTTAAATTCAGTCTTAAATCTGAAACTAATGAAGATTCTTCTAAACTAACAACTTTCTTTCCTCTCTTTCATCATCCTTTCATCATTTGTTCTCTGTCTCACCGTTCATATTTTATCCTCCACCGTGTCCATCTCACCAAACACAAACACTCAGGACCGTCTCTGTTCAGTGGGGGACATACTGGACAGAAAAGGGGGTGTGGTCTATGAGACACTGGATGCATTGCTCACCATGGCGCCTCTTGCTGTTAGACCTTCTCTTCAGGTCCAGTTGGCTGGCTTCGCCCTCTTTTACCTGTCCATCATGTCGGCGCTGTGCGCCATCTACGTTCACCTGACACCGCAGGTCTGAGGACGACCCGATATGCCGAATGGAATACTTGTATATTGCTACAATCGTCCTCCAGACATGTCCTCCAGACATGTCCTCCAGACATGTCCTCCACAGTCTTCATCAATGTTCAGCACAAACGTTTTCCACAAACGTTTACATAGGTTGAGCAGAAACGTTCACTGCAGTTGTCCTCCACAAACATTCAGCACAACATATTCAGAACAAACAACTAATATTGTCCGCGGCTGATGTCCATTCCTAACGTCCACCACTAATGTCCTCTCTACAAATGTCCAACAAAAATATCCACTGCTAATGTTCTCTGCAAATGTGCAGCACAATATATTTAGCACAGATGTCCCCCAATATTGTCCATCACTATGTCCTCCATTATTGTCCTCAACAAACGTTCAGCACAAACTGATGAGCACAAACATCCTCCATTAATGTCCTCTACAAACGTCCTTCACAACTGTCCTTTACAAACATACACCTCAAATGTCCACAGCTAAGGTTCTTCACAAACATTCAGTGCAAATGTGCAACATAAGATAGAACTTTATTGATCCCGCAGGAAATCGTTGTGCCAGAGTTTCAGTACAAAGGAACAGACACAAGGAGTCACACAAGTTATAAACAATAAAAAAATAATTCAATAAATAAATAAATGCCCTCCACTAATGTCTTCTACAAACATCCTACACTGAATTCCTCCAACATCCTTTGCAAAGGTCTAAAAATGTCCACTGTTAATGTCCAACACCAACGTCTACTGCTCCACAAACATTCTCAACAAATGTCCCCCGCTATTGTCATCCACAGGACAACGTCCACCATTAATGTCCTCCGCAAACGCTCAGTGCAGTAATGAAATAAACTTGCAGCACTCTTTTGTAGAAATAGATATTTGAAAGTTAAGCTGAATCACTCAGAACCAGAGGTGTTGAGCACAGGCTGGTTCTGACTCGTCCGTCTGGTTTCTGGCGTTCATTCTGTACAGAACAGTTTTCCTGATATCTTTTTCTAAAATCACATCCCCATAGATGGACTGGACTGGTGGTGACTGATGATACAGAATCCTCCAGAATTTTGGAAGATGTCCTTCAGCAAATGTTATCTTTAATAAGAATAGCTTATTTCTACCAACCCCATTCCTGCAGAGGTTCTGAAGAACTGTTGGTCCAACAGGGATGGATGATACTTCCAGCTGTCCATCCTTTAGACCCAGATTTTTGAGTGACTTTAATAGTACCTACAGTCAGACCTTCAGACTACTCCAGAGTAGTTTCTCTGTCCAGAAGTCGGACCAATCTTGTGTTTGTTCTCAGATTAAAGAAATTTACCTGGAAATCCATTTGAAGCAAAGCTGGAGTTGATTTGTTGGACAGATTAAGATCAGAAATCTGATCCACGATGATGCTTTATGAGGGTTGTTTGGACTCTATACAGTCACTCGGTAAAGAAAGTAGCATACAACACATGTCAAACCAGCTGGTGCCATGAAGTGGGCCTGTATGCTACTGGATGTGGAACCATCATGACATGGAGTAGTGGCAGCAGCCAACCAGGTTACAGGACAGAAGGTGGGCCGTGCAATAGTAAGTTGTTCACGGCCTGGATTGAAACATGTTTGTTCTAACTGTAACTTGTCAGTACTGAGCAGCTGTATTTCCATATTGGGAACTGTTCTTTAACTGGATTGTCACATTCCATGTTCGACTGGGACTAGTCAGTTTAGACTGGAATCTGTTGTTTGTCTGGTCTTGGTTTTGAGTCCAACTCTAGAGCTATAGGTGGACAGGAAGCTGTAACAGGATGTGGTCAGGCTCATCTAAGTGAGTGCATCTATGATATAGAGCTATTTGAGTCGAGCCAGATCAGGTGACACATCCCTGAAGTTTGTTACCTGCCTGCGAACGCTCCGCCCACTGAGTTCTTACTACTGACACCCACAGTGTCTGTTAAAGCTCCGCCTCCAGGTACCTGCTAAAGCTTCACCTGTATTGAAGAAGCCCCACCTCCTGGTGCTAGTCAAAGCTTTTCCATAGTTAAAGTAGCCCCGCCTCCCGGTGCCTGCCATAGCTCCACCCTTTGGTGCCTGATTCATTGGCCCTGCATACTCCATCTGAAGCGGTGAAATCGGCTCTCACTGACGTAGTTGCTTGACGAAAATCGCATCGTTTTGTTGTCGGAGTAGCTTCGCCTGCTCCTCCTCAACACCGGGCCCGGACCGAACTGTTCCCCACTGGTGAATGCACCAAGTGTTGTGTGACTGGTCAGAAGTTTCAGCTCTACGACTCTTCAAACACTAAATTAGTCCATTGGTCAAAAACTCCTGGATGGAGATCGTGCACACATCGTGCACGGAGGAGTCAGTCTGCTGAAAAGTGTGGCGCTCGCTTCATGATAGATCTGTGGCCGAACGGCAGCTGCAGGGACGGAGTGGAGACTCTGGTGGGAAGAAACCTGGGTGACGTATGCTGCAGGGGGCGAGGTTTCCCAAGATGCACCTGTGTGTTGTGGAGTAGAAGGATGCGTGCGACCACGAACGTCCTGCAGCCACGTGACCGCGAGCTGACTGTTGGACTTCGGATGGAGTATTCTGGGACCTTAAGCGTTGCCTCCTGTTATTGAAGCCCCACCTCCTGGCGCCTGACCAAACTCCACCCTAGATACTGGAGCTTGACCTCCACTTTGTTGACCCCCACCCTCAACAAAGAAGCCCCGCCCCCCTGGTGCCTTATGTTCTGAATGTTTTTGGTTTTAATGTGTGGAGAGGATCAGAACCGAACAGCCCACAGCGACTTTGTCTTTGAGTGATGTGTTCATCTCAGACCGTTTGTGAAACCAGAACCTGCCGTGTTCGAAGTGCCATTAGTTCTCCTTTTACTTCTGCTGCTCTTTGTACGTGTTCAGACCCAGGTCTTTGACCCAGTTCTGGGTTAAGAGTCCGGTTCAGTTGCTGAACCTTGAATAATAATTTGATTAGGTTCACTGAAATGTTTTTTGGTGCTGTGATAAAATCTGAAATTTGAACGGGCTTTGAGCTCTGTCCCACCCACACCAAGTCCAGGCCACGTCTGTGGTTTCTACTGAGCCCAGTTCAACCATGACCCGGTCCATGGACGTGTTGTGCTTCTGAATTCTCATGTTTTGACCCACTGCTTTTCTTATGGTGTTTATAAATCACAGAAACATTTAGAGAATTTCACACCAAAGAGTTCAAACGGGCCTTTACAAGTCCAGTTTCTGTTCTAGTATGACTCAGTTAAAGTTCTTGCGGTGAATATGGACCTGTGTGGTTCTGGTCAATCTGGACTGGAGTGTAAAAATTTAACTGGTTTTAGATTTTAACAGAAGAAAGCTGAGGACTTTTATAAACTGCTGGTGTGTGTTGGAGCGTGGCTCGGTTCTTGTTTTGAATAAAAGTGGTAAAAAACACCTGGACTCCTTGCGTTTCTTTAAGACTCACCTGAGGAAGTCATGTGACTAACTTAAAGCAGAACCGCTGGGTTCTGAACCCTCACCACGGTGCTGGCGGCAGGAACTGAAGCACAAAGTTTTCATAGAGTTGAAGTTGGATCCACCGGTTTGGTTACACTACATTTCCCATCAGCCTCTGCTCTCAGTAGATCAAAGAATCATTCTGCAGTTTGTGACCTTTACATCTTTCCTCTCCATCACTTTTCCACCTTTTTCCTCTTTTTTTATGTTGCCATGATTACAGTTATTTTATTCGTTATTTTAATTTGCCATCTGTTGACCTACCTTTCTGTTGTCCCCGCCCCTTTTCTGTTGTCCCCGCCCTTTGTTGGGTTCTTCTTCTGTGGTGTCTTGTCTGTGCAGAGTAAGTTGTGTCTTCCTCTTCATATCTTGGAGGAGCAAGGGCTCCCCCAGGTGGCTGGAACCGTCAGCGCGCTGCTCGACTTGGCCCCGCCCCGACAGTCCACCCCCACGACGGCACTGGCGCCTGGACCCGTTTTCATTTAGACGCCGTCGCTGCACGCGCTCATGAGGCCTCCCGAAACGCCTGCAGCCAATCGGAGCTCATCGTGTTCCAACGACGTGGGATGTCATCAGGATACAAGAATGTAAACAAATGATGTCAACCAACAGGAAGAATTACCTGTCTGGGCTCTGGTCCAGATGGGTCAGAACCACTGGTCCTTCTGGTTCTGGTTCAGATGTGTCAGTAAGAGAAGAAAATAATGTTTTAATTTTATTAAGAAATCCACAAAACAACAGAAATCTTTACAGTTGGGACTCGGTTAGTTTTTTTAAAACCGTTTTGGCTCCAGTTCACCTCCCAGGTTAAACAACAGAAACGGGCTTCCATAGAACCACTTCAGAACCCGAGTCAGGATGTGGTCCCACTCCACTGATACGAGCAGGAGCGAGAACCTGCTGAGAGCCTCATCATGTGGTTCTGATGGAGACGAGAACAGGCCTGATCATGAACGGGTCACGTGACCGAACCCGCTGAGGACACGTTAAAAACATGTTACAACATGTGTTTTTGTCCCAAACCCAGAGTTCCATCATGTCTGAGAAACTAACCATGATGATTAAAACAAAAAGTTTAAAACTGAGCAGGATTTGCACATAACAATAATAATCTTTAAATGTTAGAGCAATACCGTCTTTATTCATCTACAGGATGTTAAAATTAGTTTGTCTACAAAACGTTTTATATGAAGAAAAGAAAGTTTTAACTAAAATTAACTATTTTTATACATGCATGTTATGTATCTGTCACAGTTTTTTGTTAAGACATAAAATTATAGCTTTAAAAAAAACAACTAGTAACGATAATTTAACTTTGCAGATTTAGTTTAGAATAATTTCAGAAAACATTTTAATATCTTGTAAAGTTTTTTTTGATATTTCAATCACAAATATTAAATATCAATTAATGCTAACATTTAGTGGTAAGTTATAAAATACATTAATACATTCCAAAGTCTTTAATGAAAATATAAAAACACAAAACTAAGAGTTTTATAACAAAATGCGTGACA